CTCCTGCCTCTGCCTTGCTTGCTCTTTCTCACCCCTTCCCCCCTCTTTCTGGGTCGTCCCCGCCGTGGGGTTTGAGCCTTTTTCGCGTGCGCGCCCGTCGGTCACTGCTGGAGTGGCGCGCCTGTTTTGCTCCCCCAGTTCGTCCTCCATCTCCTCGAGCGAGCTCCGGGCCCGCGCCGATCCGCCCGGCCCCCGCGGCGCCAGAATTTCAGCGCGGGGCAAGACCGCTGGGCGAGATTGGTCGACTTGGTGGCCTTTGTCGACACGATGGCGACCTAGACGTCGATGCGCGCAGTGCACCTCGCGCATGTTAGTCTTACCACGTGTGTTGCGCGCTCCGTCACCACCGACCTATGTGGTCACAGCGCCCGCTTTCGGCGATGCTTTGCTTTCGGGTCGCGCAGTGGTTGTGCTGCCGTGGCTTATATGTCTGGCGCTCCACCCATTCGAGCGCGTGCGTCTTGCGTCGCCGCTGCGCGGGCTAGCGCAGCGGCGACGCGAGATGGCCCTCCCAGCGCTGCCCCACCAGTCGGCTGGCCTGGCAGCCTTGCAGTTGTCTGTTTCACTGTCCCACATCGCTCCGATGATTCAGTGGCGCGAATTAGTGCCAGGCTGCTGGTGCTTCAACTCACTCGAGTCGAGCTCATGTTCTTCGTTGGTTTGCTGCCGCGCGTTTGTTTTTCAGTGCTTCATTTTTCATTCACCACCTTTCTGCGCTGCAGTGATGGGCGTATCCTTCGCTGCGCGTTCCGACCAAGCTCGTTCGCACTTAGTATTTGCATTTGTTGACCGCGCCTGAGGCTCCTCTGCGCCGCCGAGTTAAAAGTCTGTGTGTGTGTGTGTTTTGTGCGCGCGTTTGTGTGTGTGTGTGTGTGTGTGTGTGTGTGTGTGTGTGTGTGTGCGTGTGGTGCGTGCTTGTGTGTGTGTGTGTGTGTGCCTGGCGTTTCTCACGCTGGCGTTTTCCTGTGCGGGTGGGCTTGGGGCGTTCCCAGACGTGTGCCGCCCATGTGGATTCCGCGCCGCAGCGGGGTCGCCACGCGGACGACTTGAAGATCGTTGAATGAACTTCTCAGCCCCCCAGAAAACATTCGGCACTCTTGAGAATCCTTGGGGGCCTTTGGGATATCGAGGCATGCTGAACAGTGCGTTCGTCTCTTTGAGAAACATTTTTCTGTTCCCTCTCTCTCTATATATATATATATGTATATCCCCCCCCTCTCTCTCTCTCTCTCTCTCTCTCTCTCTCTCTCTCTCTCTCTCTCTCTCTCTCTCTCTCTCTCTCTCTCTCTTCCCCGCGGGGGAGAGGGAGAGAGAGAGAGAGAGAGAGAGAGAGAGAGAGAGAACAACAAAAAGGTATATACGAAAGAGAAAGAGGGAAAGAGAGAGAGAGAGGGGGAGAGAGAGATACGATGACACAGAAAGAGAGAGAGAGAGAGAGAGAGAGAGAGAGAGAGAGGGAGAGAGAGAGAGAGAGAGAGAGAGAGAGAGAGTGAGAGGCGAGGGGGGGTGAGAGGGGCCGAGACAGACTTCAACCAGAGACCCTTGGAACCCAGTAGTCTTGCTGTGCGCGCCCGAGCCCATTTTGACGCGCCCGCTCCGCGGGGTCGGGGGGGGGGGGGGGGGGGGCGCTTTGAACGTTCATGCGTGCGTATTCATATGTATATGTATATGTATATGTACCTGCATATGTATATTTTCATGCATATGCATATGTATATGTATATGTAAATGTTTTTGTGTGTAAATATACGTGTGCATGTGTATGCGAAGCCCCCCTTGGCTCGAGCGGAGTCCGCGGGGCTGGTGGAGGCGCCGCGCAGGCCGGAGATGCCTGCCCGAGCGCAGAAGGCGCCGCTCGCATGTGCTCCCTCGGGCGCGCAATGAACGCCGCTCGAGCCACTTTCTTGTTACTCGCAGTGGTCAACCCCTTCGGCCTGACAGGCGCCCGTGGCGAGGAGGTCTCTGCGCAGCTGCGCCAGATCCAGATCGTGGGTTGCCCTTGGCACGAAGATCCCGAAGCGCCCATGCAGCCCGCGCCGCACGCAGCGGCGCGAGTGCCACGCAGCCATCCACTTCGGCTACGGACGACACAGCGCGCGCATCAACAACGCCGCGGGATGCAGCATCCTACTCAACCACAGGTTCAATGATAAGCACATCAAGGACATCGCCGTGCCGCCGCAAGAGCCCCGCGGCAGAGGAGGTCACCATCGAGCAGGGCGTCACGAAGCTGAATAGTATTGCGGCCTACTCACCTCCGGCCCCATGGGACCGCAAGTAGCTCCCCCAGTGGCGCGCCACCATGACGAAGGTGGCCCAATGGGTCAAGCAGGAGATCTTGAACACGCCATCTCTCTTTACCCCGATAGTCATGATGGACCTCAATGACCGCTTTGCCGCAGGCCCCGGCGGCGATGAGACAGTTGGCCAGTTCCCGACGGGCAAGGAGGGCGAAGCTGGCAAACTCTACCACCACGCACTAGCCAACACGTGCATGGCGGTTGCGAACACTTACTACGACACGGGCCCCACCTACGACGGACGCCACCCCTCGGTCACGGACACATCTACACCCCCACGGGCTAGGTCTCCCGCGCCATGCAGTGCCGAGTTTGGAACCACGCCGCCCACGCACTCCAGATCTCGAGGAAGTTCATGGACCACAAGCCGCTGATCATCAAGCTCGAGGCCCCGCCCGCCTGCCACACCGCCTCCAAGGCTTTCCATCCAGACCATGGACCGTGACGCCATCGCACTGGTACTCAAGGAGGGCCACAAGCGGGTCGAATTCCTGGAGAGCTTGGAGCACAACCTCAGCACCCACGCCGACCTGCTGGACGAGAACCTCACGCGCGAGGACGGCACCTACCACTGGGGCCTCACGATGCAGTGCTTCCGCGACGCCGCCTTGGAGCACTTCGCCTATCGCCTATCGCCGACCCGACTGGTACCGCGAAGCCCGAGAGCACACATTCCATTCCTTCAAAGGACGCGCCCAGCTTCGGCAACGTTTGCACGCCCGCGAGGACCACCTGCGCCAGCTTGACGAAACCATCTACGACTTGAGTAGGGAACTCCGACGCCACCCGAAGGACACCAACCACAAGTACCAGGAAATGCAGTGCGACGATCTCTGGCAAGCATGGCGCGCTCGACGTCTCGCCGAATGCCACCGCGCCACCAAGACCATGTTGCGCTACAGTTTGCGGGCTCGCAGGCGCTTCTACGGCGTCCTCCCGAGTTCCCGACCCAGCATGGACCAATGGCCACAATTTCTACAACGGCCAGGCGCCGAAGTAGGTCTACTCGCAGTTCCTGCCCCCGTCGCTCCCCCGACGCGTGAAGACCTGGTACCACCGCGACTTCCACCACTGTCTCCACCCACGCAGACACCGACATCCAGGGCCCCTCCGACGCCCACGCCCACGACCAGCACCACGACAGCCATAACAAGCACCGCGCACGGTCCACTCCTGAACTGCCTGAGCTCGACTTCGACACCATGCTGGGCCAGGGGCGCGAGAACTACGCCGACGACGACGCGCCTCCGACCGTTCACCTCCAAACGGTGCCAACCACAACGACGCCAGCAAGCACCGCCGGTGCACTTTACTCCGCCACGCGCTTCCCCACCCCAGCGTAACTACGTCATCGAAGCTGTCGACGAGCTTGCTGCAGTCACCAAGCTGCTGGGCAAGGCAAAGCGCAGGAAGTGCGCCTCCGCATGCTCGGTCCCTGCCTGCTGATGGCACTGCAACCTGAACTACTGCGACGCCCTGGGCGACCGCAAGGAGGCCTAGGCGCACTGAATGCCCCCGACGGCTCCGAGGACCCCATCTAAGAGGAAGCTCCAACTCCCGCGGGGATACTGATTTGGTAAATCACGACTTCTCGCCTGCCTTGCGCGCGCACGACAGCGCGACAGCGCCCCCGTGCAGGCCAACACCTCGCAGAGCTTCCATCTGGGCATGGGCAAGATGATCTCAGGACCCGTGGGTCTACGCCTCATCCACTGTTTCGACGTCTTCTGGCGCTGCTTCTACAGCCACCTACGCGAGCGAGGATTCCCGACGCGACCGCCCAACTAAGCCTACGGCGGCATCCTGCATGGACGACGCGAGTTCGGCGTGATATTCACCCGAGTGGTCGCCAGCAAGCCCCGACGGGCGAATGTCGCCTTCGCAGTTCGGCCCCGCGACGGCCGCAACGCCTTCGGGTGCGCCCGCCACGACGCCACCAACGAACACGTCATCCCGACCTTTCGCGACGGCGACCGCCAACTTGTATTGCAACGGCGCGCGGGGTCCCAGGCCGTCGTCGAGGCCGGCGACGGCGCGCTCATCATGCGCAACCGCGGGGGGGGGGGGGGGCTCATGGGATGTTCGAACGAGCCCGACGCAGTCATGAAGGTCTACAACCACCAGCTCGAGCAATGGCGCACCGACGCTGCACCGACACACATCAGCATCATGCTCCAGTCGTGCGCTCCTACCTGGGATCCCGACGGGCCAGTGCAGGACCTCAGCCGCCAGGTCTTCGTGGATGACACCCTGAAGTTCCACATCGCTCCTCGCGTCGGGCCACGCAAACAAGCCATCGACTCCATCGGTCAACTACACGACGCCAGCGTCGACGATATCCACGCCCTGACCGCCGCCATCGAGCGCGACCTCGAGGTGCTACGCCAGTCGCTTCGCCAGGGAGGCTTCGCCCTGAACGAGACCAAGGACGAGATCGTGCACGGCATCCCATCGAAGTCCCTGCGCCGCGCCTTTTTCACCGACCCCCGCGTAATCTGCAAGAGACTGACCTCGATGAAGCACGTGGGGGGTATGTTCGGCGCCAAGGCATCCTTCCACGGAGAACGTGAAGCACGACTACGAGCAGCAAACGCAGGATGGTGCCAGTACCGCCATTTTTGTTTTAGCCGAGCCCCGCGCCGACTTAGGCGACACGTATTCCAAGCCGTCGTCTATGAAGCCGCCATCAGCGCCGCCGAGGCCTACTACCTCTACGCCACGGGCTACAAGGAGCTCGACATCTGTCTGGGCAAGAAGCTGCGGACCATGCAACAGGGCAAGGGCTGCCAACGCCACCGCGGCACGCAATGCAAGGCGATCTCCGCGGCCGAGGTATGGCGCCGATGGGACATCGTGCCGTGCTCCATCGAACTAGAGATCCGACGGCTGAAACTACTTCAAGGCGCTGCCGCACACCCCCAATAATCCCAACATCTTGTCTCCGCTCTGTTCGGCGAGCTCCGCATCTCGCGCCTTCTGAGAGACAGCGACCTCACCGTAATGCCACTCGCCCTGGCCGACGACGGCTACATCAGCCCCGACGCGCACCCGATCGCCAGACAGATGACCTTCGACATCCAGGACCTCCTCACCTACGACACTGCCGAACCCTTGGACTTGCTGGACTGGAAGGGCAACGCTATCGCGCTGTTCACGGACCCCGAGATCGCCGAAGCGTTCTGCGGGATCGACGTGGGCATCGTGAGGGCTGCCTATCTTCCGCGCGCTGTCGCGCCGCCTGGTGCCTCCGCCGAGCTCCCATCGGAGCTCGCCCCATCCGACGAGGCCGAACTGTTCGTCTGTGAGCTGGAAACATCAGCAGGAACTCCATGCATGAGTACCTGGAAGGCCGCGCGAGTACTCTTCGCACATCAACGAGGAATGGCATTCGGAGGCGAACATGGAATGTAATGCTTGCTGTCTCAGCTCACGCTCACGAACGAGTGCATCATATGTAGTGCGACCTTCCCGGCGCGAGTGGGCGCGCAACACCATATCGCAGCAGCATGGAAATCACGCGCGTGCAAGATGTACCAGACCTGGGCCCCGTGCCCCCTCGTAGCCCCGAAGAGCCTCACCTGCCCGATCTGCCAGGTCCTATGAAGAGTACGCCGAGCTCCGAGGCCACCTCCGTAGTCATTTACCCCAGGACGTCTCTGGCACTCACGCACTTTCGCTTTCACTACCGCCACGCCCTGCAGCCGCACCAGCTCGCGATGTTCACGGGCTCGGGGCCCCCGCCGACAGCGACTGCGGCTGCGCCGCAGAGACCGAGCTGGCGTGCCTCGCGGGGATCCCCCTCCACGTCTGGCGGTGGTGGCTCCAGCGGGGCCAGATCCATGTCAATCGACCGATCGCGCAGCCAAGCACGCGGACAGGACCCTCGCAAGAAGTTCGAGGACCAGGACGTGGAGCTCGACGACCAGAATATCGACCCCAAGAAGGACACGAATAAGATCAGGGAGCACAAGGGTTGCATCATCACGACCGTGAAGGTGATCGTGCAGGAGAAACGCAACTTCGTTCAGGCCATTCGTCGCGAAGGAGAATCACGCGGAAGAGGCCCGCCAGCACCGGGCGCCGCGTGGGCTATGATGGAGACGCTGGCTCAGCAGGACAGCGGCGCGAAGAGCAAGGGCGAGGACTCCAACACCGCGATCGAGCGCGCCAGCGCCATGGACCAGTACCAGGAGCAGGACACCCCGGTCTGCAAACTCGCCAAGGCTTACAGGGGCGGCCGGGCGAATATCCATTGCAGGGACTACGAAAGCAGGCAGCATACCATGACAGCGTTACACAACGCCGAGGAGGCAGCGCGCGTGGGTCCAGCGCCAGCGGGGTCCGTGGAGGACGAGCTGGCCTTCTGGATGTAGGCGCTGAGGGTCGAGACCAAGACGGGGCTGCTGCGCGCCTCCCCGCGATGCCCGCTTGCTTGTCCATTGGGGGCCGCGGGTTTGCTAGCGGGAGTAGAAAAACTTAACTGCCTTACAGACAGCCTGAAGGGGAAGGGACTGCGGACGATGCCACCATCACTAGCGAGTCCATCAGCCGCCTCAAAGCGACGAACGCCGAGACGGGGATCTGCACTCTACCTGCAGAGAGGGCGAGGCCGAATGATGAGGCTAACGCCAATATGAGCCCCGCCGTGCCCCTTCTCCTTGGGCTTGCTCGCGACAGGCGCGAGGGGCCCTGCGCTCCTGCTCGGGTCGGCTCGAGAGGAAGGGCAGCCACCCTCCCCCTACCTCCTACCGCCCCCCGCCCCCGAGCTCTGCTGCTGCCTCCATGCCGTCTACTCCTCCTCTTCCGTCTCGAAGCGATCGACCCTCCCTGTTTACAGCGCGGGGGAGAGGTCGGAGTCGCGGACGAGGGCGTGGAAAGGGCCGCGCCTCGAGGTAGAGCTGGGTGCGGGCTCCCCGTTTCCACGCTGAGCCGCTCGCACCATGCGAACGGCGCCTTAGTAGTACCGCTTTCGGGCGAGCACCGTCCAGGCCCCATCCGTTTTCTTGTCGGGTTATCCTTAGGTGCTTGGACATTCGGTGTGAGTGAGTGAGTGAGTATTTGTATGTGCGTGTTGATGTTTACGTATATTTCTAAGTGCATGTATATATGTTTATATATATATATGTATATATATATATATATATATATACCTATAGATATATAATGTTGGTGCGTAATCTTATGTATAATATATATAAGAAATAATTATCTATAATATATGAAAGAGCGGTGTTCTACCGCTGCTGGCGGAAAACCGGGGGGGGTCACTTCCGGTTCGAATCCCTCCCCCCCCCTCTGGAAAACGTGGATCGGGGGCCGCCCAGATCTCGGGGATGGGCCGCCTTGGGGTCACGCCTCACGAATGTGTGCCGCCGGAGAAAACGACCCATTTCAGCCAAAAGGGGTCGTTTTTCGCAGGGTCCCGCGGCATTGTGTTGTACGCATGTTTGCACCCGTTGGCAGGACAGCTTGCCGGCGGAAGCCGTGACATAGTGTAGCGCCGTGCGGTGCGTGAGGCATGGCAGGCAGAGCATGTTGTCAGAGGTCGGTCTAATTAGGGTTTCTTGCGAGCGCGGGGAGAGTGGCAACACCAACCCCGCGCCCATGTGAATTGTGTTACTGTGCTGGCACTTTGGCTCAAGATGGAGCGGTCTGAGGAAAAACATCCTTTGCCCGTCCCGGTGAGGAAGAGGAGTCAGTCTCAGCGGCAACGCAGGCTGCTCCTCCGACTCTCCACTACTTGCGACACATTGCTTAGGCTGAAACTCAGGATCCTTGTAAACAGCAGCCTCAGGCATTCTCTGCCCATACTCCCAGCCAGGGCCCGTCGACTGTTGTGCTTGATAGCTCAGAGGAGTAGTATTGAGGCCCCTCTCGACGACGTTGTCAAGGAAGCGGAGCGGCAGTAGTAGACGATGGCATTCGATGAGACGATCGTGCCCCATGCAGGGCCAGACGAGAGGAGAGCCCTGCAAAGGGTTATGAGCCCAAACGCTGCCCTGGCGCCGCATGGCTACACGCACATGCGGCAGTGCAGGGCGTGTTACGACGTGATCGTCGGCCCAGCGATCCGGTGCAGTGTGTGCGAGGGCGACGTCCATGCGCACTGCATGCTGGTGATTGGGATGTCCCCCGTGTGCTTCTTCTGCTTGGCCGGCAGGGACATGCTGGCCGCGCAGCGCAGCTCGGCATGGACTGGCCACGTCGCAGCCCAGATGGGCAGGTACGCGGCTTGCGGAGGGCAGCTGGCCGGCCAGGTGATCGAGGCGACTGTCAGCGGCACGGCGCAGGGAGCACTGCGGCTTGTCCAAGGAGCCGCGGCCGGCGCCAGGCGGACCTGGACTGGGGCAGGCGCGGTGCCGCCGCCGGCGCGGCCGCGCTACCTGCCGCTTGTATAGTCTGATTGGTTGTAGACTGCAGGTTAAGTGGGAGGGGGTGTGGGCTCAGGTAGCCATTTTGGGTCCGTAGCGTTCGGCTCTGGCCGACGCGCGGGTGTTCCAGGGGGCCGCGGGGCGGCCATAACCACAGCCGTACTAGTCCGCGGACTAGGTAGCGCGCCTGTGGTGCCATGGCTGTGGGCTTCCTGGGGGCGCACCTGATGATCTTGGTTACGGGCGGCGCTCTTACGGTCCAAGGGGCACTTGGCTGGCTGCCGTTCGGGCGCGGGGGACAGGAGGTCCCAGCGCCGACGCCGCCAGCCCTGCCCGGGCCGACAGCGCCGCCGGCAGGCGGTGGGGGGCGAGGCAAGGGGCGAGGACCGCCCGCCAAGCCCGCGCCTGCAGGGGGAAAGGGGCGAGGGCCGCAGGCCAAGCCCCCGGGGACGCCGGGCGTCCCACCGCCGCCGCGGTCAGGGTCGACTACAACGACCACGACCGCGGGCATCGGGCGCGTAGGCGAGGGCGAGCCCACAGGCAGCCCAGCTACGCCGGCATACGGAGGTAACAACGAGCCCACGGGCGCGCCTGGGCAGCCGTCCGCCCCGGGAAACCGGACGGGCGATGGTGAGCCTGACCTGCCGCGTGGGCTGGACGGGTATTGGGGGTGGAGTGGTTGGGTCCCGCACCTGCCCCATTGGTGGGCTGGCCGGAACGTACCCCCACCGCCGCCGCCGCCACCTACCCCGCCCCCGGAGGCGGGGCCGGGTCCCGGTTGGGGCTTCGCAGCCTGGGTCTTCGAGTTCGTGGGCTACGGAGCGTGGGTAAGCTCCCCCGACCACCCGGGCACGATCCGCACGAGCGGCGGATGGATTGGATCCGCCGTCGACCGCCTGGGCGTTAAGATGCTTGGGTACTGGTGGGAGACCGCGGTCCTATGCTTTGCCCTAGGCATCTTCACGTTCGTGTTGGGTGCCCTGGCCTTCATCATCAACACCGCAGCCCAGCCTATGCTGTGGGCTGCCGGGGGACTCCGCTGGGCGTGGTACCAGATTACCCGGTGCTGCCAGCGACGCGGAGGCGATGGGCCCGGCGCCCATCTTCCCCCACCCCCTCCGACCCCCTTGCTGGTGCGCTGGCGCGGGCCGGGCTTGGGCGGCGTGGTGGAGACGGAGTTCTACACAAAGGGGGTCCGCGGCCGAGGGACCAATCGGGCGTACAACCACGTGCTTCTGCGTAAGCACGGGCAGGTGGCCCGCATCAGCTGCAACTTCGCGGACCGGTACCGACTGGACCGCCACGGGCTCAACATCAAGATCGGGCAGGTCCTGGGGTGCACCAGTCGCAAGTGGCGGCTGAACCTCGAGGAGACAGGGAATGTGCATCTATGTCGTGCCGTCGAGTGCGCCTCCTGTCCAGTGGCGCATCCCATGCACGTCGACCAGTACGCGGCCATTGACCACACACAGATCGTGGACTTGGCTGAGCACGGAAGGGCCACGGCCTGCCGGGCAGTCGGCGTGGGACTCCGGAAGGTATTCGGGGTCGTCAAGTGGCTGCTTTGCTCACCCTGGTCGGTCTCGGATGGCTGTGCCGGGGCCGGCCGGAGCCCCGCTACATCACCGACGCCACGGGCTATCGCCGCCTGGACATCGATTCGGAGAGCGAGGTGGAGGCGGAGGAGCGCCCCTGCCAAGCCGCACAAGTTGGGGCGCAGCTCGCGGGTGGCGCACGCCCCCTCCAGCCGGAGGGGTGCGGCGACCGAGTGATGCAGGAGGCTACTGTCCTGCTACAGGAGGACGCGGAGGTGTCGGATGTTCCCCGGCCGGGGCATTGTCTCAATGCACAGGTGCACCTCTGCGCCCACCATGCGCAGAAGTATCGGTCTACCCTGATCGGCCGCAAGTGCAGCCTCCCCACTTGTCTC